TATATATATATTATTTAAAAACTCTAAAATTTATTGGAAGAATTACGACTCTTATCACTTGGCCCAACAGCCCAACTAAAAACGGCCTACGTTTGAAATGTTTACCCGGTTTGACCAAGGTTGTATATAATTTGAAAGAAACTTTTCAGCCTTTAGCCCATTATTAAAGACACACTTCTAGTTTTTTTTTTCTTCTTTCTTCTTTTCCAGCATACTCAATCTCTCTCCACTGGCCTCTCTTTTCTTTCTCCCTAAAAATTACAGAATTATCTTGTACCCACTCGTGTTAATTGCTTTTGAGCACTCAAGTGAAGAAACAAAAACAAATACTAGAACATACTAGCAATTTCTGTGCTGCACAAGAGCACTTTAATCCTCGCATTCTATGTCAATTAGGTTTCGATTTTTGAGTTAATTGACAAAAAGAGGTTAATGAACCACAATAAAATTTGGCCTATCAATCCAAAAACTATCAGATCTGACCTAAAACTATCAGATCTTGCCTAAAAAAGGATCTTTGGCAACATCGTCTAATATTTCCTTATTTTTCTCAGTTTTTGTTACATCCTTTACTACTAGTGAACCACAATAAAATTTGGCCTATCAGTCCAAAAATGTTCATTTTTCAAACTTTGGCCTATTTTTAATGGGCTACAGATTTGCAAAGTTGTAACTGGATTATTCTGCTGCAATGTATATGGGTGGACTGTATTTTTATATAATTCTCCCAAATTTGATTTGGAAATTATAAAATAAAACCATCTATAATATAGTATAAAATAAAAAATATAAAAAACACATTAAAAGGGAGAAGGTAACTCTCAATAATCATGATGGATAAGTAATTCTGTAAAATGTGACCAATATAAATTGTAGGATTCACTAAGTTAACTAGAAAGAACAAAGAAAAAAGTGAAAGAGAGTGCAAAAGTTTGGACAAAATACATTTTACTGAAAAAGATAAAGTAGAAATAATAATAAAAAGAAAGTGAAAAAAAAAATATTTTGGATGAGAAATTTTACTAGGCTAGAAAAAAAATTAAGAAAAATATTACAAAAGATAATAAAAAATTAACACAAGAAAAAAAAAGCGAAAAAAGGTGAGGGACTATTACTAGAAAGAACAAAAAAGAAAAAAAGAAAAGATTTTTTTTTTGGAAAAAGAGTGCAAATTTTATTACAAAGGGGAAAACAACAATACAATGGAAAGAAATAAAAGAAAGTGAAAAGGACAAAAACAAGAAAGTAAAAAAAAAACAAAGAAAAAAAAAAAGGCAGGGCCTCCGGTGGAGTAGAGCATAGGAAGGCAGGTAATACAAGAACAACAACAATAACAACAAAAACGATCTAGTATAATCCCACAAGTGGGGTTTGGGGAGGGTAATATGTACGCAGACCTTACCCCTACCCCGAAGGGTAGAGAGACTGTTTCCAGGAGACCCTCGGCTCAAAAAAAAGCAACAGGAGCCGATATATTAGTACCATAAAAATGCATAATAAAATAACAGCAATATAAGAGATATGAAATACAGAATACGAAATACGAAATAGATGGCTGGTATAGTAAAACTAGCAGGTAAAGCCCTGCATCAATAGACGACCAATGACATTCTTAGTCTAACTCCTAACTGGCTAGTCTCACTCTATTGTGCTGTAGAAATATTCATGAATCTCCCCTAACTCATAACCTTAATGCTCGACCTCCATAATTCCCTGTCAAGGGCCATGTCCTCAGTAATCCTAAGT